TTTGTATAGTTTTCCCTGATGAAATAAAACGAGTACGTATGTAAACAATGGTTTCATCCTGCATTTGCCTCATTAACTGTGTCGTGTGTGATCAACAAAAACATGAGAAACAATCGTGTGTTTTGTATTTTCTGCTCATGTGCTGCATAAAATTATATCTGCTATATTTTTGCATCGCTTGCTATACGTGAAAAAACTGAATCGCCAAAACAGAAAAGTCAGAACAACAGTTTCTTTAATATGTTTAAAAAATTTTCAGTTATAACAATCAGTGCTTTCACTGGAAAATCCTTTCACTTTTACACTGCCAATATTTTTGGCAGTGTAATGTGATTAAAACAGGGTACAAGCAAAGTTAACATTGATGTTATTTCAGCAGTTGCATTAATTAACATTTTTCAGGGCTTTCTCGGCCTTGTTACTTCCCCCACTGGGCCATCCTGTTGTTTATCGGACCCTTCATGAATCTTGGTGACTTCATGTAGGCAGCAATCCTCTCCAGAGCCTACAATGATATAGGAAGACATCTGGTTAAAAAACAAAGCAAAAACTACCTACCAGTGAGTTTCAGTAATGTCATTGACATGGGGGGTCCGGGAAAGAAGCCAAAGTGACTGAATAACTTTGTAGTATATATTTGAGAAAATACAAAGTGTAAGTTGCACTGATGGTATCTGATGAACACTGAAGTCTTCTCACCTCAAAACGTTTCATTAGATCATTGAGGTTCTTAAAGTTCTCCAGGCATTTAGGCTCGAGGGCCCTGTGTTCATCCAACAGCTCGTACATAACGAAGTCCACAAAAGTGATCTGTTGAAGGCAGCAGAATCGATAGTATAATCAAACAATAATTCATGAGCAGCATTAAACTTAACCTCCTAGGACCTGGCGTCCACATACATGGACATCACATTTTGGGTTATTTAGACTAAAATACTCAGTTTTGCTCTACATGGGCCTGATATCCACTTACGAGGGCATTATACTGCTACTGTTCTATCAAAATTTTAAACGAATATCCTCATATGTGGCTCTCATTTTTCTTAAAAACAAAAATAAGGTTAAAAAAAATTCTTTGTTTTTACATTCATCGGGCCCCAATCAGCCCAAATATCAAAGAGAAATTAAAAATGCATGTCGTGGAAGAGTTCGGGTCTTAGGAGGTTAAAGAAGGCCGGCCCTCTCATCTCTGCAAAATTTTATAACCTATCAAAGTTCAACATTTTGTTTTCCATCCACAAACTTACTGTCTGATTCGCTTTCATCTCTCTAATCATCTCTAAACAGCCCAGGTGTAATCAAGAACCGGTATTTATGGAAGTTTGTTTCTACCACTTAAAAAACATTTTTGCCATTTACAAATACAAACTTTGGGTTATTAACTCAAACTCCAACTTTTGGACTATTGAAATAATAACCTGACTTTTGATAAATGGCATTTCCCTCCGGTGGTTTTAACAAGCTTCCATAGTAGTCTTGGCTCAGGCAATAAAATGTGTTAACGGCTAATTGCAGAGTCATCAGTTTGATTTTTGTAATGCAAACATCCCCCCTGACTCCTGTCCCACAGAAACAGGTGACAGTTTAGACTTGCATCCACAATGATGAGCACTTCAGAG